TTTTTAATAATTCTGATCACAAATTTAAAGTTATCATTGAAATCATAAAAATGTAAACTTACCTTAATGGAGTTAATTCAGGCATTCCAGGATCAGCACCTTTTTTATAACCTATCAATGAAAATAAATAATTAGAAGAACATTACATTATAATAAATAAATGTATTTAGAAAATATTATTGAAAATTAGTTTTGAATGTTCTTTAATAGGCAGTGTAATATTTAAAAAAGTAGTTAACATCATTACTTTTCAATTATACAGCTCTAAATGAAACATCAAAATACGTTGAAACTTTGTAAATTAGATAAATCACCATTTTGTTGCCAAGTAATATAACACTACATAAATGAAATGTTCATAAAAAATATATAGATGTTTATTATATGTGATAGCATTAATTTAGTTATATGCAATAAGATTTCTATGTTAGTATTTACAACAATATGAGCAACAAGTTTTGAGGACAACTGGGTAGCATCTCATAAAAAACCACTTCGTCACCAGAATAGAACAAATTCAGCAAGCAACAGTCATTGCCACTGCCAGACAGACAACTATACGTGTATTTTATACAGGGTATCTGCTACATTTTAGATTTTCAAATTCATGACTAATTCCAAGAATTTTTCATGACTTAACAAAGTTACTATTTTCTCTGACAAAAACACAACACTAAATTTAAAAGAGCATTATAATAACATTCATTGAAATGATAGGTATAACCATAACTGTCAACTCTGCATCTTCATATTTATAGATTTTAAATTTAAAAAACAGAGTAAAGAAAGAGTTGAAGGAATAAAAATGCTGAAAAAAATACAAAAGCAAATCTTTTTTTTTTTCTTTCTTTCTGCAGAATTACATGCTACAGATACTTTCCTTGTTCATCGGAAAGGAAAGAAATACTCTCGATTATTCTGCTCTTATTTCGGAATAAAAAAATTCGCCAATAACTGGCTTGCTTCAGCTGGAATATTAAATTAATTAAAAAAATAATAATAACAAAAATTCTAAAATCACAGAAGTTTAAAAGATAATTTGCTCTAGAAATTATGTTTTTACTTTCATTTTTTGAAAGAACACGATAAAAACATTTTAAATTTTAATCAAATATGACTGTGAGTGGGGATTTTGTTACAAATTCAGATATTCGAACACCAAGAAATTGGGGGAATTGGGTGAACAGGTACCAATATGGAAATATCTCCTATTATAGGTACATAACACGCGTTGTTTATTAAGAGGAAAATAAGTTGTAATTAAGAGGAAAATTATATAAAACATAAAATAAAATGAAAACATCAAGTTATTATAAGTTTTAAAGATAAATGAAAAATCGTTGAAGAATAGAATGTTAAAGTAACAAAAGTTGACAATCTGATAAAAATTATAGAACACCTCAGTAAATTTGAGGGTATATTTCCATATTCCAAAAATTAAGAAGAAAAAACAAATATGTAGTGGTTTGCTCAGTGGTGGTTGAGAGTTTAAGACTTCGTTTTGGTCCTTCCTCCAACTTCAGTAGTGTCTGTGCAAAAAAAAAAAAAAAAAACNAAAAAAAAAAAAAACTGCCAAACTTTGGCAAAAACTGAACAGTGGCCTGCAACTCAAAGAAACATCTCAGAAAGGGACTAACTTAAAGGTATAAATTTTAGCCAACCCTTTACAAATTTTATATGTTTTTTTAAATTTTTGCGAGTACCCTTGCAAGGAGCCAATTACGTATTGATACAAAAATATTGTCAGAATGATGAATTGAGCGTCTCTTGGAGTTTTTACTGTCGATATAATCTTCCTTTTTCCTACTATTTCTATCTCCAATATGTACAATTAGAAAATCTCACTTTTAGACATTTTCCCTATTTTGAGCAAGATCAAAAAAATTTATCAGAATAAGAGGGGTAGAAAATTGTAAATTTTTATTGGAAATACCATGTCTGTTAACAAACGTTGACGACTTACTGACGAAATCTTTTCGAATTTTGTTTTTGAAGAGTTGGAAGATAATTTTATCCCAGATAAAGTTTCGCACCTTCTCAAACGCAATATAATTTATTTACATAAAAGAACTTGAAGATCATAAATTTATAATGCTTCTTTTTTACATCTCATCACAATCAAAATTTACATAAAATAGTAAGAGAAAAATATTTACCTAAATAAAGTACCGTTGGGATGAATCCCCAATGGAATGTGAATTTAAAAACAGAAAGTACATGATTTAAACGATTTTTTGTTTCAGGATTCATGACTGAATTACCTAAAATTCAAGGAAATCTTTACTTTAAGTAAATTTTACGTAATATTTTTCAGTACTTTCTAACAAAACTTTTAAGTAAAAACGTGATTATTTATTTGATGCAGAAACTCAAAAGGAAATATTTTAAACTTGAAAAAGTTCAGCTTATAGCTTAGTTTACTCTCAATAATAACTTTAAACCCTATTTCTACTGCCACAAATTTTATTCTAAACAGTTTTATTATTTGCTATTGGCGATCGCAACACTCGAATACGCCATCTGGGGAGAGGTCGGTTTCATGCCTTTAGTCCTTCTCCCTTCCCTCTCCTCCTCTTTTCATTTATAAAGGAATGTTCTGCGATATTTTCCCTTTTTATCTAATAAAAATATTTTTTAAAATTCCTGTGATACTTTTCTTTAGAACTATGTTTAATGCAGTTTTCAGTTCCTTATAGTTTTCCAACCTAAAAGATTTTAATCTGTGTGAACATCAAGGGAGAAACTAACGTACTTCCTTCCTCTATGACTTTCCACACGCTACTGGAGAAAGCATGTGTATGAAGTGTTGCCATAGGTAGAGAATTCTGCTCTACGCCACCTGCAGCTCATTTCGATCACCAATTAGCGATCGAAATGGGCTGCATTATGCATGCCAAGCATTAAGTGGGCGCACGATGCGCTCACTTAAAGCTCTCGGGGGGGGGGCCNGGGGGGGGGGGGGAATTTAGAAGAGAATGCGCCCAAGAGCTTGGGGGCCACTGCTCTCCCCAGATGGCGTATTCTATCTGATGGGAATTTAGTAAAACCTAAGTATTTCTCATTAATAGTGCAAATTGATTTTTTTTCACATAAAATATAAATCAAGCTATTCATAATTCTGAATTCCAAAAATGGCTTAGTATAAACGAAAAACACTTTTGTAAAAGTGAAAGTTTTAGTTGCACCAGGCTAATTCCTTCTGCATCGCTTATACTTGAATACGACGCCTTCGGATCACTCCCAAGGATGTTTCTTGTGCTTAGTTTAGTACCCATATACCATGAATTTTTTTTTTCTCTTTAATAATTCTTGAGGACGGAAAAACGTAAGCCCCTCTATCTTAATGGCCTTTGAAAAAAAAAAAAAAGAGACATGAATCACTCTTTAGTTTTTTTTTTGGAGACTCATGAAAATTATACCCGTTCCCATCCTGAAACAATTTATAAACAAAAGAACAAGAATGAAAGCTAGTAATAAAAAAAATATAAAGTAGTAGTAAATAAAAAAAACGATAGATTAATTTGAAAACCTATCAGGATTAACAATTGTTTTCATTTTACTTTCTCGAAAAACAATATAAAATTTATGTTTGCATTTAATCTGTTCTAAAGAAATGTTTCACTGTGAATGATTACTTGGATCAATGAGTTTCGACTTATTACAAAAAGTAAAAAACTGATATGTTTCAAAGCCACACAATAAACCAATTCTGCGATTTCATTTTTAACTTAACAGCAATATTTCCAAGCATGACCTTATCCAATTTATTTTCGAAATTTAATACTGTGAGGGCCTTTTCGCCCAAGTCTATATTTTTAATAACTTTCCAAAAAAAACATAATTAGGATCTGTGCAGCAATAAAAATTATTCTTTTCTATAGCTTTAAGCTCTTAATTTTTAAACATAAAATCAATAAAATTCAAAAACTTTACATAATCATAATAAAATAACTAGTTTACGATAAATATTGAAGAGAAAATTGTAAAAATCAAGCATTTTTTCTAATTTAGAATGGCAATAGATACAGCAAAGAAAAAAAAACCTATTTTTAAAAGATAAAAAATTAAGCTCTTTTTACCAATTCCGAATAAAAAAAAAAGCACCGTTAAGGTCTTTCAAAAAACGTAAATCAAAAATAAGCACTTTTTAAAAACTGTACGCACCCTGTTATGGATTAGATTATTCTAACAACAGTTCCTAATTTTCTTATTTCAGGGACCATGGGCAGTTAACTAAGTTTAATTAAAGTCTTCGATTTAAAGAGAATCTATAACAGTCTTGGTTTTATAATGGTAAAAAAATAAAAATCTCTTTTCAAAAAGTCAATTTTCTACAAGAGAAAACATGTTACTTCGTGATGGGTCGAGAAAGATGTTCAATTCAGATTTCCTCAAAAGTGATGAAGAAATTTTAAAGACAAAAAAGTCTTACATAAAATAATAAACCATTGCCTTATACAGATGCAACGACTATTATAAATGTTCTTACACAATATAGATTTTTCCTACTTAGTTTAAAAATTAATAGAAAAAAAGTTATAGGAACAAAATAACTCTTTAAAAAATATATATTTCTTACTAGTATTAATTCTACTTTATTTTTGTTATTCTATTGTATATTGGTATTGTTGTAATAAATTAAGTATAAACTTTTTTAATCACACTAATGCATTATTAAATAAATGTACAGTTCTAAGACCATAAAAATGTGAAGGGAAAAGTTTTGAACATATTTTTCTTTAATTGTTTTAGAATGAATGCTACTTCAGGATGATTTTTCAGTCTCTCTCTAAAAAAAAAAGAAGTTTGTGAAAAGAACAATTTCTAGAATAGGACTATAACCATTAGTCAACATCTTAGCTGTATCTTTAAATATAATATTTGAATTTGATATGTCAGAAAACTTAGTTTTTAAATTGGTAAAAAAAATTAATCTTTAGAAAATATTAAGTATAACTGCTATAGCCAAAAGTTAATTTCAAAGCATGAGACAAAGTAGAATCATTTAACAACAATTTATTATATATATATTACAATGCATAATAAATGATAATGCATTCCATAATGGTATGCCCTTTAATAAAACTGTACAATATTTTACTACAGATGAAAGGATGAATATTCATACACGTATCTACAATATAACACTCATTGTGGATTTGCTGCACCACCAAATATACCTCCTGTATTTAACTGAGATGGATCTTCCATTTGGGGGTTCACTAGAAAAAACGAAATTACATATTAAGGTTTAAGCAAATACACAAGACAAAAAAAGAGAAAATAACCCAAGTACTAGGCTTGATATTCCAAAACTTTTGAAATTATTCCACAAGGTGGAATTAAGAACATTATGCAGCACAAGATAAACATTACCTTTTCTAGAGGCCTGAGAGTAAGAAAAAAAACAAAGAGTCTGAAAATACCTAATAACTCAAATTAATAAAAAAAAAAAAACATGTGAAACTATTTTACTCAAAAATAAATAAATAAAAATAAATATTGAAATTTACATACTTATTATTATTTGTGTATATCAACAGGCAAACAAATTGTTAAGCTTCTATATATATCATAATTAAAGAGAACAAAATAATGTTCAAACATTAAAATTTGACTTTTAACATAGCATGTACTTTTATTATGTTCTCACCTTTAAAGTTTGGAAAGTCTGGCAATAAGTCAAAAGAATCTCATGTATGTTTCTACAACAAATGTTGTGTGAAAATATTTTCACACAAATGAACCAGTTTAGTTCAATTTTCAAATGAACTACATTTATATTTTACTAATAAGAAGAAAGTTCTAAAAATGTATTGGAAAAAAAAAATTTCCCCAAATTTTTTTTCTTTTAAACTTAGACACAACTGTTTTCTATATCGAATCTTTTGTATGCTTTAATTCTGATCCCAGATGAGTAGCATTATTGAACCAGCAAGGCAGAAATCATAGAGAACAGAATGAGATAGTTTTATATCTAAAATCATATGTGTTTCCCTCGTTCGGCACAGAAAATGTCATTTAGACACAACTGTTTTCTATGAGGGATCTCTTAATATAGTCTTCAATTCTGGCCCCAGTTCAACAGCATTATTGAACTAGCGTGGCAGAAGACAATGCAAAATCATAGCTGTCAATTTGTAAAAACAAAAATAGGAACACAAAGCTGGAAAAACATTTTGAACTAATTATATACTAATGCATAAATGCAACACATCACATGCATTAATTTATATGTATCGTAATAAATCATATTTATTTACCTATAGCAAAATAATCAATATATTTCTTATACATTTCAGATATGCAATAATAAGGAACAATAGATTTTTTTTACACAGTCGAGAGAAATAAATTAAGAACAAATAATGAAAACTGAAATATTAAATTTAAAAAAATCTAGGTTAATTTATTTGGACTAGGCGTAGATGATTCAACATTTTTTTTAATATTTTTTATTGAGAAGTCAGCGGCAAATAACGGCTGATAACAAGGTTTAGTTCTATCCAACCTATTAGTTAAAACTGCTATGTGTCTGAATCCAAGGAAATTCCAAAATCAATTTTATTCTTTTTGATTTGACTGAAAATTTGCTTAAAGGCCAAATTACTGTGAGGAAATGCTATCTTACATAATACAAGTAAAAGCTTCCCATATTTAACCTTCCCTAACTGAAAGAAACTCAGTGATAAAACTGATAGCGATTCTCATCTTGAAACTCCCCAACCAATGGATCAATTTTTCCTGAATTAAGAATGCAGAGCTTATTATTAATACGTACATGTAAAAATTACTCTTACAAGCAATAGCAAAAAACTATTGGGTGAAATCTATTACAAACAAAGAAGAAATTTTATTAAAATTCCTACATACAATTTTTTTCCTGCAAAAATATCAGGTATTTTTTTATATAGCAGCAATGACTCCAGTAAAAAAATAATACTGCAGGAGTAAATGTAACTGCATAAAGAAAGGGGGAAAAATTGAAAATTTAGCAAGGAAAAAAGGCACATAGAGGGTATATCATAGATATTCATGAGTTAAAATCAAGTTTTGAGTTTAGAAAATTATAATTTGAAATTAAAATTTCTAAAAATAAGAAATTGATAAATTTCTATTATAAGTAGGCTAGACACAAAACTTAATATTTTTCAGCTGTATATCCATAGAATCAGTTATTGCTAACTCTTTAAGAATAAATCCTATAAATACATAATTTTTAAATCATATAAATATGAATCGCATTGCAAGTTTTTTAACGGTGAAGATATGAATAACGATGCTTGATCTTATAATAGTGAGACTTAAAAAAAGTGATTTCAAAATGGCAAGAATATGATTCGTGATATTCGATTTTTAAACCACAATGTATGACTTTTCAAAATACTTGATTGAATCTCAACGTTTGGCTTTTTAAATTCTAAAATCTTGAATGGCGATGTGTCACATAAATACAAATCATGACGTTAAATTTTCAAATCATGTGAATACAAATCTCAATGCGCAAATTCTAAATCGGATAATAGTGAATAGCAATTTAAATGTCTTTTAAATTGTGCGAACACGAATTTCAACATGTGTGTTTTCCCCCTTAAATATTATAAATATGAATCTTAGTATGCAATTTTAAATCGTGTGAATACGAAACATGTAGTTTTATTTCTAAATCCAACGTACGAAGCATAATGTTTAATTTTCAAGTTGCATGGATATGAATCAAGATGTTTGATTCTTAAATCTAGTGAATATTAATCAAGATGTGTAATTTTTAAAACATGTAAATGATAACCACAATATCTGATTTTAAAATAGCAAAAATACAAATCGCCATATGAGATAAAAATTGCAATACATGATTATTAAACCTCAAATCATGAAGTTTAGTTTTAAAATCAAGTGATCTTGAATGGCCATGAGTGATTTTAAATTGCATGTAATTTTCACACTGCATGAAGAGGAATCGCAGATAGAAAAAAAAATGAATCTTGTTTCAAAGAAGAAGAATTTTTTATATTTCTATTAACATAAAAACTTCTATTAACATATTAACAGATTTCCACCATAGGAAAAAAAAAATGCTGTTCGTGCAAGTAGATGACAGAGAAAGGCACGTTTTAAGCCCACCAATTGAAATTAATTGAGCAAAACAAACAATTGGTTCTAACAAAACAAAAGTGCTCTTGCTCGGGAGAGGCCTTTTCCAATTCAATGAAAGAATAAATCTCCTGAGAAATGAATTAATTCCCTAACTTTTCAAGACACAGAAAGTCTCCTGAATTTCACGGATTTACTGGGGTAATTTGACAAAAAATTTCATTTTCGGAAGGTTAGAAAATCGGAATGATCGGCAGCTATGCAAAATACACACACTGTAATGAACAGCATGATATAAAATCATTCGTCTCCCTCTTTCGGCACAGAAAATGTCATCTAGACAGAACTGTTTTCTATTATAAGGGATCTTTTAATGTAGTCTTCAATTCTGGCCCTAAGTCAACAGAATAGTTGAACTAGCGTGGCAGAAGACAACAGAATATGTAATGTTGTTATAACCGTGAATAAAATTAAGCAAAATGATTTATTGTGAAAATAGATAAATGGTGAATGACCGGCAGCTATGCAAAATACACACTCTATAGTGAACAGCATGAAATGAAATTCCAGAAATCATTTGTCTCCCTCTTTCGGCACAGAAAATATCATTTAGACAGAACTGTTTTCTATAAGGGATCTTTTAATGTAGTCTTCAATTCTGGCCCTAAGTCAACAGAATAGTTGAACTAGCGTGGCAGAAGACAACAGAATATGTACTGCTGATATAACCGTGAATAAAATTAAGCAAAATTATTTATTGCGAAAATAGATAAATGGTGAATGACCGGCAGCTATGCAAAATACGCACTCTATAGTGAACAGCATGAAGTTAAATTTCAGAAATCATTTGTCTCCCTCTTTCGGCGCAGAAAATATCATTTAGACAGAACTGTTTTCTATGAGGGATCTTTTGATGTAGTCTTCAATTCTGGCCCTAAGTCAACAGAATAGTTGAACTAGCGTGGCAGAAGACAACAGAATATGTACTGCTGATAAAACGGCGAATAAAATTAAACAAAATGATTTATTGTGAAAACAGATAATGGTGAATTAGTGGCAGCTATGCAAAATACACTCTAAAGTGAACAGCATGAAATAAATTTCTGAAATCATTTGTCTCCCTGTTTCGGCACAGAAAATATCATTTAGACAGAACTGTTTTCTATGAGGGATCTTTTGATGTAGTCTTCAATTCTGGCCCTAAGTCAACAGAATAGTTAACTAGCGTGGCAGAAGACAACAGAATATGTACTGTTGTTATTACCGTGAATAAAATTAAGCAAAATGATTTCTACAACTAAATTGTGAAAATAGATAAATGGTAACATGATTAACCGAAAAACTTAACTCTAGAATTTTCAAATTGGAAAACCAACACAATCTTAGAGCAAAATACTACTACTAAAAAAAAAATCGACTTTTACTAACAACTTAAAATTAACTACTGGAAAACAAATTAAAAATAATCTTTTAAATAAGCTGCTGCCCATTTTTCTAATTCAAGGAATTCTAATTATATGGAACTGATAAATTACTTACTTGGTTTAAATTGTTCTGCTGAATAACGAGTAAATAAGATGCCTACACCTTCAATCAGTGCAAGAAGAACACCACCTGAAGACAAACATATTAAATAATTATTTCAATGATAGATAAGTACAGGAGAATTTGATAAAGAAGAACTCATTAAATGCAAAGTATGTTCCAAAACTATGCAACACATTTCTGTTGTGTCGCTATTGATAACAGTCTGTTCTGACAAATTGGGTTAGGTAAACCATGTCACGACACACAAAGGCTGATATTTTTGATAAACATCAGGTGAAGTTCTGCACTAAACAAAACAACAAAAAAAAGACACCTATGAAATATTGATGCTAAGTAATCTATCCAAGAATAAGTATTTGGAAAATCAAGCAAACGTCTTTACTTCATCAAAACAGTCATAAACACTTTTAACGTTTCTTAAATTAATTGTATTTTTCAGATTTTTGCAGGGGGTAAATAAATATTTAATTTTTAAATTAAAAATATTTAATTTTTCTAAAAAAAAAATTATATGGGATTTAATACGTATTCATAGCTTGCTGAGCTCTGCTTTGAACTGTAAAATTTAATAAAAAATGGTCGCATACTGCTGTCCATATGGATGACGAAAAATTCATAAAAGGATGACCTTTAAATTTCACAAGTATGACTTTTGTTCTTTTATATCAAAGATGGGCATTTACATACAGACGAAATAAGTTACAAAATTGGACACCAAAACATACTTTATTTGAATAAACAAATCTGTTTTTTTTCCTTCCTTCTTCTGAGAAAATTGGATTTTTAAAATAGGGGAAGCAACCCTAATCTAGAAAATACGGTCCCAATAGATAAGGCAGGAAAGCAGTACACTCTGTATATAAAACTTATTACAAGCATTATATAAGCAACATATTGGGAGAAAGAATTCAGATAGACAGCATTAAAGAGATGTAACTCGAAAGCATTTTGCCAACTATGCTGTTGATAGTTAACATAATTGTCTATCATGAAATATTATTTTATTAATAGTGAATATATTTGGTTACATTATTTCATTATTAGTGAATATATTTGGTTTCATTATTTAGTTTTGTTAATATATATATATATATATTGCAAAAGATTTTTCTACAAATTTTTTTTTTATATATCTATAGTTGTTGATTTGGGGAAAAAAATGGCTATAGGGAAAAATTTTTTTTAAACAAATCCCATATTTTTTTTAATCCAATTACAGTAAACGCCTCATAACCAATAAGATTAAGATTAATTCTAGATAAGGTAAGCAACAAGAAAGATTATGCAATAAAGCAAGGCCAAAATTTCCCCTACAATTTGTGTCAATAAAACAGATTGGGTGGTATAGCAAGATTCCAACTTTTTTTGTGCAGAAAATATGCTTTTTTTGTGACAATAACATAATGTTGCTTCAGATTCATTTTTATATTACTGCTTTAGTCAAAGAAGTTATGAAAAAGTAACCTCCCCCAAAGATGACAAATAACTTCTACATTTTTTATTTTCTTTCCCATTCAATCCTCATATACTACTTTACCAACTGCAAAATGACTAAATTTGAATTTTATAAAATAATTCAATTTATAGTAAATATGTACTTTGATTTGAAGTTTTTCAGCGGTAAAAAATTAATCATTAAAAAACATTAATATTTGCCTTTGGAAATAAATTTTGAAACTTGGTTAATACTTTTGATATTTGGCTAATTACAGGGTAAGTCTTTAGCACTTGCCCTGAAAATGAAGTATAAATATATGCACCTAAAAAAAAAAACGGTTTAAAGATTTTACTTAACTAGTAGATTAGATTAAAATTACACATTAAGAACACAAGAATCATTTACAAAATACCACTCATAATGGTAACAATACTTATTAAATTAAATCTTACCAATAACAGCAGAGCCAACCATTGCACCAGTTCCATCTGAAAAAGGAAATGGTTTATGAATATGTAAAATTATCTACATTAACATTCAAAATCTACACACATAAAATCGAAAATAAATTTCAAACATGAGTTGAGTGATTATTAAAAATAAGTTATTAAATTTATTTATGATCAAATTTAATACTAATTCTTGGTTTCATGAGTCGATTGGGATAGTCTAAGAGCCATGAGAAAAATAAAATGTAAAGCAACTTTTAATTAATGGTAGTAATATTTATTTTTCTTACTACTTTCTAATAGTTAATGTAAAGGACAAGCTTTAATATGTAAGACTAATCTAATGAGATGGATAAACTCACACATTTCCTTATATATAATTACAGTAACAAATAAATCTTTATATAATTCTTTTGACTTTTTTGACTAAATTATTTCACACTTCCCTCAACAGAAAAGCAACTCTTTTATTCAAACTATTTTCGAATATATTTCAATCTTTAAAAAGTAGTTATTTTGTAATGATTAGTATTTTTTTTCTTCCAAATCAAACTCCTCCAAAATAATATATATATTTTTAATACTTTAAACTTAGAAAAATAGCTCTGGTAAATAACAGAGATCTTGAAATGAATTTCAACTTTTATAGTGTTTTGGTGATGAATCACCAAAACACTATAAAAGAATATCATCACTTAGAATATCATAGCTGCCAACCTCCAGTTATAAAAATGCAGAAGATACTCATCTTTTTTTAAAACAAAAAAGGAAATATCTTTTAAAAAAACTTTTGACCAGCTACTTATACAGTGGTACAATATTCATTTATTAATTCTTGATTAAAAATGTAGTTACGGCCTGCCAAAGGCTATTACAAGAGGAACAGCGACGTCTGACTTATACTAGCTATCAGGCGGATGGGTAAAATGCAGAAGACTTCTCTTCTGCGCATAAAAGAGGAAAAAATAGCTAAAATAAGTAAAAATGCAGAAAGTTTCTGCAAAATGCAGAAGGGTTGGCAGCTATGGAATATATTTCAATCTGAAAATTAGAAATTTTGTAAAAATTAATATTTCTTTTTTAAAATTACTCTTCAGAAAACAATTATAAATTTTGCTATTTTTTGCCATTTACAACTACTGATCACAGATGCATAAATGCGTAAACTATAGCAAACGTCGTAAGACTTAAACACATCATCATAGAAAACTTATATTGTATCCTTCCACCGATGCCACATTTATAAGGAAGTATGAAAGTGTTGGATATTTTAGAAAGTTTTATTGATATCATTAGGATTTAAGCTTTCAGACAATTCGATTACAATATTTTCCAAAAACTTATACATTTAGCAAATCACGAAATTTCAATTGAACTAAAATTCAATATATGAATTTCCATGAGATTTGTTTCATCCACTTATTCTCAACATTGGAAAATTTAGAGAAACAGTCTATATACGAATAACTCTAAAATAGAAAAATACCACTATTGAAAATTTTAACAACATGGCATAAATTCTGGGTTTAGGCGAAAATTGGACATAATTATTTATAGAGCTCTTTATTTTTTCAACCAATGACACAAGTACTATTAAAGTACAATACTATTACAGGGTGCATAGCCAAATTTTTCAACAAAAAATAAGTACCTTTTACGCACTCAAAAAATATTTTTAAGCACTATATACCTTAACAAAATGCAAAATAATTTTTAAAGACTATATATGATCATGATAAAATAACTAGTTTCTGACAAAGAATTCTTTTCTTGATCATATTAGCCATTATAAAATGATCAAGGGATTTTTCGATAAGATATCAGAAGGTGTAAAATGTAGCCTGAAATAGAGAATATCTTTCAAAATTCAGCAGTTGCACACACGAGTGCTGCAACAATCTCACCGAACCTAGCTCAGTAGGCACGCATTCGGACTCGCAAGTATTTCATCAAACATGTAAAATGATTGACACTTTCATACGCTATGGCGTAATAGATTGCAGTTGAATGAATTGCGAAAATGTTGAACAATGTGAAACACACGTTTTTGCGTAATATGCGGCGAAAATCAACATGGTAAAGAAGAAAAACTCTCATTTTGAAAAGGGGAAAATTAAGCACTTTTTAAAAACACCCAATGAAAAAAGCTCCTTTAAGGGTTTTTAAAAACGTTATGCACCATGTATTAAATTTCACAAAATTAAACGCCAATAGACAGACAACAAAATTTTAACAGTACAATTTTCGAAAAGAGATATGTATGTATATATGTAAATTTCTTACTCCTGACAGCTAAAATAGCACCAGTCAATGCACCACTTGCTATAGAATTCCAGGGATCCTCTTTTTTTCTCATATGAACCAGTGTACAGTCAATAGTTGAGAAGACACCTCCCCAAACAGCAAAATTACCTTAATGCAAATTTAAACAGAAAGAAAATAATAAATTAACACAAATCACTGAAAACTGTACAAAATAAGAAATATTTAAAAATTTGATTTCCACCTTAAAGGCATGTATTTTTTATTTTGCAGTTAAATATGCATTTAAAACAAATATCTTGGAAGTTCCTCGATGTGGAAACATAGCCGCTAACACGAATAGGAAAAAAATCCAGTAGATTCTACTAAAATATAAATTTCAGCATGACAATTGTTACTTAATGAACTAAATATTTTACACATGGGAATTGTAGAGATTTTTATAGCCATCAAAATAGAAAAACTACAATATTCTCTAGTTATGATTGACATTAAACAGACTTCAATATTATGCATTCTGCTTTCTCATTATTTCAAATATTAATAGGCATTCAATTCATCAAAAATAGTTAAAAAGATATTTTTAATTAATTTAAAAAGAGAGCTCTAAATAAAAAAAAACTGACAATTTTAGAACAAAAGAAGTTTTGAACTGATTTCCAATGAGGTTCACTTCATTATGTATCATTAATACTTATTTAAATATTCAAGCAAGCAAGCAATAATTTGAACAAAAATTCTATTTCAATGGGGATATTTTTAGGAAACTTACTCAATTTTAAGGGAATTTTCTAAAATTTACAAAAACGAGAATTTTAATTAAACCAGTAGACCAGGAGGAACTGGCAAAATTCAGTAGTCTGCTGGGTTATTTAACTACTTTTAACAGGGTGCATAGCCAAATTTTTTAACAAAAAATAAGCACCTTTTAAAACGAAAAATACAATTAGGCAGGGTTGGCAAGTTTTTGTCAATTGACGATTTTATCCGGATTTAAACGTTATGTCAAAAAAAAAAAATATTGGGGTTAAATTAATTGTGGAAACATTGAATAGAACAATATGAACAGCGTCTTTTTGCATAATACGTGGCAAAAATCAACAGGGTAAAGAGAAAATTAAGCACTTTTTAAAAACAAACAATGAAAAAAGCACCTTTAAGGGCTTTAAAAAACGATTATCGAAAATAAGCACCTTTAAGCACTAGAAAGAAAACTAGCATAAAGTAGCAAATCAATAACATTTTTATTAAAAAAGGCTCCTTAAACATTAGTCTTTTGAAAAAGGGGTGCAAGTCGAAACATTTTTTTTTTTAAAAATATAAAGATTCATATTAAATCAATCATCAGAAAAATAATATCAATGTCTGAATCTTAAGGTATTAATTCCATTGTAATAAAAAACAGTTTCAACATTACCATTTTATTTAATTTAAAGATATTTGCCATTTATTTACCTAAATTTACTAAATAAGAGTCTTCAACAAGTTCATGATTTCGGAGATCAGTTTGCAAATTATATATTAATACTAATTTATAAGATATTTTAATGGCAAATCACTAAAAACAGGGTATTGAAGAAAAAAAAATTACCTCCAACAATAGGAGCTCTTTGCTTTATTGCAGCTAAACTACCTTGAAGCCTTCTGGTTGTTCCCTAGGTAATTTGAACAAAATATTATGCATCAATATATTTTTTTAAATGCAAAAAGATTTTAAAGCAATACTATTAAATCTAGGTACATCTTTCTTTTAGAAAACATTGTATATACAATTTATGGCAGAGCATGAAGTTGCTAATTAGTAAAAAATTAAAGTTAATCTAGTTACAGGAAACAAATTAAACTAAAAATTAGGACAAATAAGAAGTTGTTCATACTTTGGAATTTAGTTTGAAGTCTCAAATTTATGATTTCAATAGGTATGGATCTGATTATTTCAGAAGCAATTAAAATAGTTGTCATGTATCTCCTTCTTGAAAACACAACTAATGTGCAATCAAATGATAAATACATAGTTTCTTTTGCACTTTTTTCTGACTCACAAAGCATCAGCTCAGCAAGTAAAAGGTTGAGTGCAAAACTTTTACAAATTCATATTTCTGAAATTTCCCAATTTGAAAATTAATAATTGCATTAAGAGTTTTCAGCAAGTAAATCTTTTTGTTAACTTAAAATTAGAAAAAATAAGAAGTTATTCAATCTTCAAAACTAAGTGTGAAGGCTCAAATTTATGATTTCAATAGATAATTGATTATTTCAGAAGCGATTAAAATAGATGTCATGCATCTCCTTCTTGAAAACACAACTAATGCATAATCAAATAATAAATACATGGTTTCTTTTGCACGTTTTTCTGACTCACCAAGCACCAGCTCAGCAAGTAAAAGGTTGAGTGCAAAACAATAGGTACAGTTTTCATTATTTCAGAAGCAATTAAAATAGTTGTCTTGTACCTCCTTCTTGAAAACACAACTAATGCATAATCATATAAAAAATACATGGTTTCTTTTGCACTTTTTTCTGACGCACCAAGCATTAGCTCAGCAAGTAAAAGGTTGAGTGCAAAACAATAGGTACAGTTTTCATTATTTCAAAAACAATTAATTGTCTTGTACCTCCTTCTTGAAAACACAACTAATGCATAATCAAATAATAAATACATGGTTTCTTTTGCACTTTTTTCTGACGCACCAAGCACCAGCTCAGCAAGTAAAAGGTTGAGTGCAAAACAATAGGTACAGTTTTCATTATTTCAGAAGCAATTAAAATAGTTGTCTTGTACCTCCTACTTGAAAACACAACTAATGTATAATCAAATAATAAATACATGGTTTCTTTTGCACTTTTTTCTGACTCACCAAGCACCAGCTCAGCAAGTAAAAGGTTGAGTGCAAAACAATAGGTACAGTTTTCATTATTTCAGAAGCAATTAAAATAGTTGTCTTGTACCTCCTTCTTGAAAACAACTAATGCATAATCAAATAATAAATACATGCTTTCTTTTGCACTTTTTTCTGACTCATACAGCATCAGCTCAGCAAGTAAAAGGTTAAGTAACTTTGTAAACTCATATTTCTGAAATTTCATAATTTGAAAATTAATAACTGCAATAAGAGTTCTCAGCAAGTAAAACTTTTTGTTAACTTAGAACAAATAAGAAGGTGTTCATTTTCCGGAATTTAGTTTGAAGTTTCAAATTTAAGATTTCAATAGGTATATGGATTTGATTACTTCAGAAGCGATTAAAATAGATGTAATGTATCTCCTTCTTGAAAACACAATTAAATGCATAATCAAATGATAAATACATGGTTTCTTTTGCACTTTTTTCTGACTCACAAAGCATCAGCTCAGCAAGTAAAAGGTTGAGTGCAAAACTCTTACTTTGTAAACTTAAACTCATATTTCTGAAATTTCACAATTTGAAAATTAATAATTGTAATTAAGGTTTGATTATTGATTCCAGAAGTGCTTAAAAAATAATTGTCATGTATCTCTTTTCTGAAAACACAACAGAATTCACAATCAATGATAAATATACATACATGGCTAATTTGCAGACACTTACACTATTTTTCTAACTCCTATAGCAAAAGACCAATTAAAAGCAAAATCATTACAAAAAATATAAAAAACTTAGTGGGAAATTACCATATTTTTAAATCAATTGATCATTTATTGAAACTGTTTACCTTTCTTAAAATTTTAATAAAGCAAAACATGTGAATAATCAAATATATCTATTTCAGTTTTTAGCCATATAAGAAAGCAGCAAAAACTGATTTATTGTCAAATATATGTTAAGCAACTCCACAATGACAATACAGATGCACAATATGGTTCACTTCACATTAGTTTATGTCGCACACAGAATAATCTCCATCAGTAAAAGATTGGGTTCTAAGATTAAATTTATTTGAGTGTAAATACACTACCCTGTGGAAGAGACATGTACAGTTTTTTACATTTTTAAAAAAAAAAATTCTCAAGATTAGCTTAGAGGGCTATTTTGTAACTTTACAGGTGTTTAGTTCATGCGATTTTTCATACTTAGCAAAATGGGTTTAAAGCTTTCAAATGTTTGAAGGACCGATTATAAATCACGAAAGAAAACAATTATTCTTGATCACCTTATCACAAAAAACCAAGTAATAGGCTTGTAATTTGTATCAATTACTTTAATTGATAAGTTCGATAGCTGCATTTTATTTCGTAAATCTAGCTTATTTATAGATTATGGACATACTTATTTTCAGCTTTTTGTTATAACTATAAAAGTAAACAAAACCTTTGAACCGATTCAAAATTAATAACAAAATTATTGTTTAAAATTTGAAAAAAAAAAAAAAAAAAAAAAAAACAAATTTAAAAAAACTATACAAGATATGAGTATTTAAATTAGTTTTTTTAATGTTACACACGCATGAAAAATTAATAAAAAAAAATTGTTTATAATTTTATTGCTATTAATTTTGAATTTCACCAAAAATTTTGCTTAATTTTATTCAATATTTTTGAAGTTATAGCCAAAAACGTGAGGAAAATAAAAACAAGTTTTAATAAATATGTCCATAATAATTAAGCTAAGTTAATAAAATTTTATGCTGTTATTGCAAAAAACAAACTAAGTATTCAATACAATTTACAAGCTTATTGCTTGATTTTTTTGGCATAGGATGCTAAAAAATACTTGTTTGCCTCATAATTCATAGTCGGTCCCTCAAACCTGAGAGTTTTAAACTTTATTGTTTAGAAAAAAATTCCACGAGCTAAACACCTGTTAAGTTACAAAATAATCCTTTCAGTATTAATTGAGAAACTTGAAAAAAATGTTAAAAAATTAGTCTCTCTTCCATTATGGTAGGGTAGTGTATGTGAACATCAAAATTTAAAGGAAGAATTTAGAAAAAATTGTTTTTCATGACAAATTTTGTTAAATACCGAAATTCATGACTTTCCAGGTTCACGGATACCCTGGACAAGACTGGAATGCATGATGTAAAATTAGGGTAATTTTTTAGTAGGACTTTCCATAATTATACCTATAAATTTATTGGATTACAAATACATAGGATACTTTAGTGTTTTATAATACACAAAGTAAAGTAAACTATAAAAGAAAATAAACTAAATCCAATTTAAATTATACTAACCGAAGGTGCATTTCTAAACCCTTTTATGCTTTGGAAAACAGCTCCACCAATGGCGCCCATTGTAAAAGCTCCACCGCAATCATCTACAATTCTCCAGGGGCTGAAAAACAGTTTCATTTTTATTAAAATTAAATTTCTAATACCCATACTTCAACAGACTCTTAAAGAATCCTAGCCTGGATTCAAATTAGTGTTTACATAAAATGGTATACAACCCAGCATTATCACAGCTTACCAAGAATCCAAGCAAATGACCAGTAAATTGCCATATTTGCTCTATGAATAAAAAATTCTCCCCTATCGTTTGGTAAATCCACATGGTTTACTGATCTTTTTTTAGCAGAAATAAATAGCCTTTTGGACATAATTGTTTTTTCCCCTCGACTATTTCCCTACGGTTTTTCAAATTCTGATACAGTAGGGAACCGATTATCCGGAACGATTGGGACCATCGCTATTCCGGATAACCAGAAAAATCAGTTATCTGGAATAGCAATGGTCCCAATCGTTCCAGATAACTGATTTTTCTGGTTTTCTGAATCGCTACGCTACAAAAAGCAGTTTTTTTTTATTGTTAAAATCAACTAAAATAAATTAATATTTGGAAATAATCTTAAAAGGAAAAAAAAATGAAGTAATACATTAATGATTAAGTATCTTTCAAACGAGAAAGAAAAATCCTTAAATCTTAATCTTAGGAAGAAAAAAAATTTTATTAAAAAAAATGATGGGAAATTTATCGAATTTCGTTCCAGTTTTTTGATATTCGGATAACGGGTTCTGTACTGTATATTTAATAAGTTGTTATGACCTGTGCATTTTGAACTTGAGCTATCACTTCTTTGAAGCATTAGATCTGTGATGGTTCCATTATCATTTCAGGTTGTTTGATGATAATTTTTTCATTAACTATTAATCATTTTTTTTTTGGCCCTTTAACACGGTTTTATAAATTCTGATATGTTTAACATGATGTTATCACAACAGTCAAAATTCAAATTAGAGTTATCACTATTTGATATGTTCGATTCGTATCGATTCTATCATAATGTTGCGTCGTTTTAAGATAATTTTTTCAAAAAACTGTTATTTTTCAGTTTCTCACAAGCGTTTTCAAATTTGATATTCTTAATATGATGTTGTTCGGACATGTGAATTTCAAATTTGCGTCATAATTATTTGATATGTTCGATTCATGACTATTCTTTCGCAATTTCAAGGCGTTTGATAATAGTTTTTTCAGGTGTTACTAATCATATTTTCAGAACTTTTTTCAGTCAATTCTATCCCAAATTTTAAACTTTTCATAAAAAAAAAAAAAAAACATGTGGAGGTTTGAACTGGGATGGCTAGGAGTTATACCCTTCAAGTTTGTCACCTTCTGAGAAGTTTTTTTTTTTTTTTAGTTTCTCCAGGGCAGCTGCCCAGAAATAGCCAAAACTTGTGATTATTCAGCCACAAATCACTATACGGAAATCTCACCACTACAAATAAGGTGCTAAAGAAATTGCTCACAACTTTTTTTTTTTTTTAAACTTAGGTTCTGGCTACACGTTAACCCGTTTGATTTGGTCGTTTTTTACGATGCCGTTTTTCAGAAGCGATAAAATAGTTGCAGAATCTTGGTAATTCTCGGGCAGCGCCCCGCCAAAAACTTGAAAAAAAAAGAACACCATAGAAGAGGACCAAAAAAGGAACTCAAATTTATCTTCAGGGCAAACCTCCGAATATTTTTTTCTCTTCGAAAAATTGCAAGTTTCAGAATGCAATTGGCACAATACGAAAAATATCAAGTATCCCCTTGACAGTTATTCTGCGGCAGACCAAGATACGAAAATATTCCCCAATTTACTTGAAATATGCTTGTCCTATCATCTTAGTTTGCATTTTCCTTTACTCTAACTTTTGAGATAAACTAAATTTTAAAAAAAAAGTTAACGAAGATGTTAGTAGTGATTTTCATGAAATTTTTTAACTGTATTTTATCCAATTAATCGTACACTTATAATAATATCAGTGTTTAACTTCTGTTGTTGAATTGATGGGAAGATGATGCAACCAAACCAACATGCCGGCAAGAAAATTTTTATACTTTAAGGAAATACAAGTTTGAATTAAAATTTACATGAATATGAAAAGTTTTAGCAAGTAATTAGTTTAATGAAAGGAAATTGAACAAGACAATATTGTTTTTTTTCATACCATGGCTCACGTGCGTACTCTTCCATTTTGAGACGAAGTCATACAAAAGAAAGAAAATAAATAAAAATAGAAAATATAACTCTTTCAAACCGAGACCAAAAAAATGACCTGCAGAGGGCAGTGCAGATGTTCAGGCAACTAAAGGACCGTTTTTACTGCAAGCGTTTCACGCTTTCCCAATAAATCTCGAGGAAATCTGATTAGAGAAATGTATCACGGGGTGCACCAACCACATAGTTAAAATGCTCAAATTCAAAAATTTTGACAAATTTTAAACAATGACAATCCTATAACAAATCTTAAAGCTCTGTGATTTTTTAAAAGAAAAGTAAATACAAGAAAAGAAAATTAGCAGCGCATATGTATACCAAAAAATACTAAAAAAAATTAAAATTTACTCGTTGCGTTTATTGGGATGTTTCCCAGACCGTCGCCAATAGCCCATTGTGCAGCTCTAGTGCGACGTAAATGAACTACAACAACAACAACATCGTTGCGTTTATTCGAGTATTTCAACTGTGCTGGTAAACCTTTTCTGTATTCCAAAACAGAGGGATATGAGGATAATTAAATAAATTTTAAGATATAATAAAAAACAATAGTTTTCAAAAACAATGGTTTCCTTTTTCTACAGTCCCGCAGTGGACTGATCGTTAAGACACGGTTCCCAGCAGATCACCGAAGTCAAGCATCACTGGCTGCGGTCAGTGTGCGGGTGGGTGACCCACTTGGATCAGTCTGCGTAGGGACCAAGGGTGTGCGGTATTGGTCCTCGTTAAACTGTGCTACCGTAAAGTGCTCGACTTCGCGTGCAGGTCGTCGGGCTATCGAAGCGGGGGTGCCATCCCCTCTGTGGAGGATCAAAATTGTGATGGCATGTCTACGGATCATCCTCAGGGATGTTTCCCAGACCGTCGCCAATAGCCCATTGTGCAGCTCTAGTGTGACGTAAATGAACTACTACTACTACTTTTCTACAAAATATGAAGACTTTAATTGTATCGCAAAAGAACCATGTATTTCTAATGCTAATTAACAGATTAATTCATAACTTATTTAAAAGACTGATTCAAGATAGAAAAAAAAATCGAGAGTTTGTAGCCTGCAATTAGAATAATTCTTTTTAACCTATATATATATGTTACATAAAAAGATTCAACCAATCTTTTTATGTTATTCCTTTTCTGTAAATCTTTGTGATTGTGTTAATTTATTATTCAAATTGAAACGCTCTTTCTCAGACTTTAATATTCGCATCCTGTCTTTTAATCTATTTTTAGTTCAAGTATGCATTAATTACCATTTTGACGATTTTCCCTTGAAGTAACTCGTGTGAAAGACTTTTTCCCTGGACCTATGTAATTTATTTAATTATAATTACTAAGATTTCCCATATTCCCTAAAACGAAAGATTTTACTGATTTACTTTGCAAGATTTTCCCCAACTTTTAGTGAGGAGCACTATGATTTTGTGTGTGTGTCCTTTATCGACTCTTAAACCATCTGTCCAAAATCGATGAAATTTGGTATACAGACAGTTTGAAGCACGAGGAAGGTCACTATTGACATTAGAGCATTATACGACGAACCGTTCGAGCAGGATGAGCGAAAAACGAAATGTAATTTTCTGATTAGTTAAGCGTTAGCCCTCGTTTAAAATTTAACTGAAGGTGATACAATTTTTTACATATTTTAATTCATGATAACATTAGTGATAACTACTAGCTCATAGATCTATTAAGTAAAAAAAAAATAGTTACTTGCACGTATTAAAATATTTAATTATTTTATATTAACGCGTGATCTACACTACAAAATTCATACTTTTAAAGTTATCTGATACCACACGCTTTTCTGATTTACAAAATTTCTTTTAAAATGTGTTTTTAAAAAATTATTTATTTAAAATCAACGGCAAATAAGAATGTGGTACAAACTTGTTTAGGAAAAACGCAATAAATTGCTATATTATTATTGACGCCAATGATGCTCAGTTAATTGAGAAAAAATGCATTTTAAAAGAAAAGAAATTAGCTATTTACTAGAAAGAAAAAGTAACAGAGTGAAGATATTTAATTGTCTCTAGAAGAACAGTAAGAAATCGTCATACAACCACTGACGAAAATGCTGCTTAGTTAATGTTGGTAATGTGTATTATTTGATATAAAAACAAATAATTTATGTACTGAAAACCAAATATACTGGTGAAAAGATACTTATTCATTTTGGAGAATCGTAAAAATCTCCATATTATTATTGACACTAATGCTTAATTATTGATAATATGTATTAATTTTATTTTATAATCATCGTTGAACAGTCAACCCAATTTTGAGTTTACGACAACCAATATAGCATTGCAATTTTGAACCCAATCCTGAAGACAAGTGAACTCCATGATCAAGTATTAGAAGAAATTTTGCATTCGTGGAGGACTTTTTGATGGAACTAACTGTTTGATGCTTAGTTTTGATCTTGTTGAGATGTGATCGAATTTGTCTACTAAATTGCGATTGATTACAAAAAAGGAGAGAAATAGCTGAAGTATTACATTTATTACCGAGAATGGCCGAAATCCAGAGAATGTCGTTTTATTTTATTTTATTATTTTATCACAGGAATCACATAGTTAGCTGCCTTATTTTATTTTATAACCATCGTTGAACAGCCGAACCCAATTTCTGGGTTTACGACTTCTAATTTTCAACTCCGTACTCTTGTCATTTTGAACCCAATCCAGAAGACAAGGGAACTCCTGGAGCAAGTATTGATTGAAATTTGCCTTCGTGGAGGACTTTTCGAGGGAACTAACCCGTATTTGCGTTACATGGTGAGGAAGACCACGAGACCTCCCATGGTTTGCCTGGTGGCAAAGGGACTCTAACCCATGATCCGACTACCACTGAGGATATTTCACGTCAGTACTGTGGTCAGTGCGAGTCTGCTGATGAATTCGTATCGACTAGCCATCGCTGAGATTCGAACTCAATTTACCTCGTTGGGAGGCGAATACTCTATCATATGAGCCAACGAGACTCATCCGCTTTAATTTAAATAAAATAGACTATGCTGTAAAAAGAAAAGTTAATATGGTATTTGGGAAAAATTTGGATTAAAAATTTGGAAAACCGTAGAGTGTACAAGTAAATGTGCAGTGTGCCAAAAAGAAAACGAACCACCCTGAATAACTTTTGTTCTAATGATCGGGTGAATCTTCACGCTCTATAGCTTAATTTTAATGGTTCGAAGGCGTGACCTCAAATATGCTAATTGATAAGTGCAAAGGATATTTTAAGTTACGAAATCAGACACAAAAGCGTACTTTCTTTGAATAAACATACCGTTTTTCAGATTTTGAACCCCAAAATATAGGGGGTAACCGCACTATAGGAATTTACGTACATTTTTATGCAAAAAAATTTGTTTCTTTCACAAATATTTTACCAACCACTTTTTACTTTATGCGTACGTTATTTTTGCATAATATTTATGTCAACAATACATCACAATTTACGTAAATTGAAACGTCGAATTATAACAAAAAAAAAGGTTTGACGAAAAAAAAATATATAAAATCTGCTCAAATAAATTCGAACCGAAATTTAAATGGTAAATTTGCTTAGTTAATAACAAGTAAAATACACAGAATCATTTTTACTGAATCTAAAAAGTAATTATTCTATCGTCAATCTTTCGCGAAATATACGAAGGGAAGTTGATAAAATACATTTCATTAATATTTCGTAAAATATAAAAATTCTTTTTTACCATATATCTCAATGGTAATAGCATTCCGTCAATATTACGTGACATTTATTGAGATTTTGTGACATCGCATTGACTTTACCAATTACCCAAAAATTTACGTTAAATTTATGCATCATGCTACATGGATAGTTTAATTCTCATGTAAATTTGGATCGGTGCCCCTAAGCGCTAAAAACTTCTCTTGCTTTTTTCTCTCTGTGTGTTATATATAAATCATACACACGAATAACGTCTGTTGACGTTCAAAAAACTAATGGTAGAAAAATATGTATGATGAAAAGATTTTCATTTTATAATAATTAAATTTACATGAAAACAAAATAATATTAGGATTTTTTTTCTTTCACGAAAGGAACAAATTGCACCAGATTTGAAACAACAATTTAAAAATTTTCAATTTCTAATTGCTATTATCAGATTGAGTGGAAGAAATTATTATTTTATTTTTCCAATTCTGTGCAAATTTCTGTTTCTCATGAAATTTGAATTGATCATAAACTTGATTTCACAAACCATTAACTTGAATTTATCGCCATTTTTCTCTGGCACCACTAGGCGGATCCCTATTCCTTTATGTTCACCTAATGACTTTCAATGTACTTTTTTTAAACATATCACATTGAAAAGTGGTGCAATACTTTATTAAAAGTCAATTTTAATTATTAATTTAATAATTAAATTTATTTTATGTGAAATTATTTATGTTAAATTATACTAACCTTATTAATATTAAATTATAATATTATTATAATATTATTTATAAATATTAATTAATTAATAATAGTTTTAACGTTATTAATTTGCTAAAAGTACTGAATATAATAATTTTGATATTAAGCATTTTTAAAAAAACATTCATCAGTTAAAAATAAATACTATATTATAATTATTCAAAGCAGAAAGTTTCATATTTTTATAAACTGCTAACGGAAGACTTTTAAAAAAAATTACTTAAAACAGAGTGTTATTTTTAAAGAAATAAATACAATTAGAAAAGATAAAAAGAATACAAAAATTTAATCAACTTAAAAAATAAAATGTTTTTTAGATAACACTACTTCCACTTAAAAATACAATTGCATTATTTGCAATTAATACTCCCTCCTGGGAATAACAATAAAATAAAAAATTAAAAAAAACAGTAATTTTCAAATTCTCCTCCCCAAAAAACACGGTTTCTTCCCGAGAAAAAACGACCCCCCCCCCTCCTATTCTATCTCTGTTTTACGTTCGGTTACAAATATAAATTCCACCGAAGTGGATTGCTGTATCGTATTCTTTCAAATACATTCGCATCGTACGTAAGTAAAAAGGCGAAATGTAAGATAATAATTTTTCTTATTATTACAGAATTAAAAATGTTTTTTTTTAAACTTTTTTTTACAATGTGGAAATTTTAATGAATTATTTTAAATTATTGCTGTAAACATTCCCCTTCATAAAAAAAAAAAAAGCGTCGG